TGCAATCGTCGAGAAAAAAATTATTCTCTTTTAATTTTAATTGTAATGCGATTATAATAAAGAAAAAAAAAAAATTGTAAAGAAAAATCTGAAAAGGATCGAAATGTGAAAGATCGATGCAATCGTCGGGAGAATTATTTGAGCGATGAGTAATCGTTTGCGTGATGTAATTATAGTGACTGTGATGTAACAAAGGAAGATAGGAAGATCGTGGAAAGAAATTACGAAGGAGGGAATTCATCGAGGTTCCTGCATTATTTCGAGTATGAAATTGCAGATGATATGATAAGCCTGGAATGCAAAGGAGATTCGCTCTTCCGCCAGATGCGGTTGCCAAATATTTGACTCAAAATATCATTCTGCATAAATAATGTCAAGCGGGAAGAAGGACGGAGCGAGTGTATTCACTTGTTATTCACTTGTTTCGATTCGTGTAATCAACACGAATGAAAATATAATGCGAAAACGATAAAACTAATCTTTATGCGTGCAAAAGTAAACGGAATTTTTCCAACAATTCCGATATGTGCGATACACGAAATACAAGATCGATCAAAATATCTCTAAAAGAATATAGAGAGTCGAAAATAATAGCACTTGCAATCTCACTTTGCTCTTTCATACCTAAGAATGGCAAAGAATAAAAACCTTGGATCGTTCTTAGAACGATCTTAGAGATTGAGATTTCTGACTCAAAAATTATTTTAAAGAATATATTAAATAAAATATTGATTCGATCATCCTAATCCACTCTAACCAATTACAATAATTAATCCAATAAGTTCTTATTAATAAAAAATCCTGTACACTTTTCTACAAAATATACATTTAATGAATTTTCATTATCCCAAATATTAAACCTTCCAAACCTTCTCTAAACGCAAGAATTAAAAGTAATTCCAAAAAAAGAAAAATCTTCCCTCCTCTCCTTTTAAAAGCTGCCCTGGTCCTAAAGGGTTGCGTGTCCCCCTCTGACGCCACTCCTTGAGGTTACTCGAGGGTCGAGCAACTGCATACGGCGTCTTTGTACGGCATAGTTGCGAGAAGACGAAGAAGACGAAGAAGAAGAAGAAGAAGAAGAAGAAGAAGAAGCGACGGCGAGAGGAGTGGAGAGGGGAAGAACAGAGAAAGAGAGAGAGAGAGAGAGAGAGAGAGAGCCTGGGTAAGTTATCACTCGAGTCTGGACCAGGAATAGTCGCCATGTGGTGGCAGCCGTGGGACTGACTATTTTCGGGTAAAGACAAATTTGGCGCGATGCGCTACGAGGGAGCAAACCAAGCCTCGTGGTAGAGTCTCAAGTGTAAGCTTACATGTGCCGGGGGGTGTCGGCCGCGACACGGAGAGGCCAATGGGATCTGTGCGGCCATTTTTAGAGGGCTCGTTGAAGCAACCGTGGCTCAAAGCTTTGGCAGCATTCAGTCTGAAGCAGCCAGCCGGCAAGGAGGAGGCCGATTTCCGTCCGACACTTTTCGATCGACACTTCTTCTTCGAAATCGCGCGATCCTCGATCCACCTCTCTCTCTCTCTCTCTCTCTCATCCACCGCGGTGGCCTGGATCAACCCGCCTCTGGACCTCCTCTCTCTT